CGGAATTTCATTCTTTGCCGCTTCTTACAGGGATAACATTTACTTTTAATCCGGCACACATATCCCAATTGCCCGTTTGCGCCTAACTTTTGGTATAACCTGCAGCAGGTACATTATTATACATAAAGTAGACGTGTGTGTATATATATCTTGAGAATATACATACACGACTCGCGTTTTGCATTTAATTAATTTTCTTTTTTTTTTTTCAAGGTTATGTATGGTACAAAGAGCGATGGCTTATGAATTGGAGTCGCTTGCAGAAAATCACTCTCCTCTTCATCCCCCTTTTCTAAAATTAAATTTACAAATGAAGGAACTCGAGGGATGAGCCATATTTTTGTCTTTTTCCATTTCTCTTTTGATCGTCCGAAATGTAGTACCGAGCATTATGGCCCCAATGGGATTTTGATTTTTGGCGCGCAAAAAGTCCATCGGCTTCGGGCTAAGGGAGATGCGTGCCCACACGTGAGATTGTGTACCGGGTTGGTAAAAACTTTCGAGTTTCTCCCTTATCTTCGTTATCTGATCAGGGTGAAAATGTTGGCGAATATTGGACGCCAACCTCTTTGGGGTTTGAGCCGGCGTGCGGGCGCCCCGTGGCTGTATGGGACTGCTTGGCGCGCAGAGTCCCATCATCACCATAGGGCCCCATAGTGAGTACATATAGATATACACATGGCAATCTCTCACAAGAATTAGTCACTATCATTATTAATAGTATCTGTTACTTAATAATCAATTAATGCTCAATTAAATTCACAATTCAATCGGTAATAATAATAAAGGCCCACGTCTGGCCAATATAATAATATTGTTAATTAGCAATAAGCAATCAATAGGATTAATAATAAATAGTCGTGTGTAACACATTGAAACTCAACGATAGAAAAATTAAAACTACATCTTATTCTCCTTCTTCTTCTTCTTCTTCACCTTCTCCTTCGCCTATTTCTTTTTCATGTCCCATCGCAGCCCTCCTCTCTTTCTTTCTCTTTATCCCCCTCTAAGCGATCTTCTCCTCCCTTTCTCTCGATATTCGCGTCTTTGAATTTTCTTTTCTTTTTTCTTCCCTTCTCGCCTCTCACGTTCGAGATCTCTCTTAGTTGTGCTAGGAACTTTTCCCTTTTGCAGGAGATAATCCGTGGGACCCTCCGGTCCTTCCGCCTGACTTCATCTTAACGTTTTTCTCCTTGGAGCCGAGAAATCGATGCGATCGAATTAGCGCACATTGCGAAATACTAATAGGTGTCTGCATATTTGTGTATACAGAGCGCAGTAGTCCATTCGCCCACTCGCGACTCGTCACTCGCCCACTCGCCCACTCGCCCGAAATTAGTCTCTCCGATAACCTCTTCACGCCTCGCTATAGGAACTTTAAGTTACATTATCATATTTTTCACATTTCACTCTCAAAATAACATGCCAACTAATTCTGCCTCGAATCTTCATTGAGAAATTGCTCCAAGATCAAAGTTCAAGCGCGCATTGGACCACCAAGATAAATTATTGTGACTAATTCGATCGTAAAGTTTCTTCGTTTTGTGCACGAGCCTCAACGGTTGAAGAAGGGAGGACCGGAGAGTGTCCTCGCGATATCCGGCTGCAATCTCAAAGAAATTTTCTTTCCCATTTTTTGCATTTATTGCCGAGTGAGAGAAAGAGGGAGAGACGAGAGAACGAGAGAAAGAGAGAAAGAGAGAAAGACCGTAGGAAAGACAAGAGAGAGAGGCGAAGAAGAAGGGTTAAAAAGGTAAAAAGGTAAAAAGGTCAAAAGGGAGAGTGAAAGGGAGGAGCGTCCTTCGCGGCGCCCACAACACATAATATTCCATAATTCACTCCTTTTTTTCATCTCTGCACACGTTTATCACTCATTCATTGTTGATTTAGGAACAGCTAGTAGCGAGGTTCGGTTACTCTATCACGCAATCTTTCTTTCTCGAACTTAAAACGCAAAAACTCCATTGCATACACGCGTACGTACGTAATCGACATTTAAAATTACATAATACAGTATGTGTATATTAGCTCGGCTCATTCTTATCTTTTTTTTTCTTTTCTTTCTTTCCCCACTTTGTTCTTCCTACGAAAAAATGTCTCTGAGTAGCCGGCATTTTCTCGGGTCACTCACACGCACTCTTTGTCTAGGTAGGAGGTGGGACCTCTTCGCAGTGGCTCGATGCTCTGCTTGTTTTACGTATTTTTCAAAAATTCTGCATTTTCTGAGAATTTCAAAGTTCATTAAAACGAACTCGAGGATTTTACGTGTCGCAAGTATGGAGCATTTAGTCGATTTACATAGTTTTCGAGATTTGCGCTGCTAATGGATTCGCGAATCCATTTTTGCAAAAAACTCTTCTTGTCTCGGCCATTCTTATTGGGACAGCTCTTTTAATTTGGAAAGTCGCCAAGAGAATGCGGTTTAGAGTGGACAATTGGTAAAATTGGGAAAAGACCAGTGCCGCCGAGCTTCCGTAATTTACGCTAATATTTAAGTACAATTAGTAATTAATTACTTAGTCGTCAGACCGTCACGTGTTAATTGCCCTTTTTTGCGAGGTATGGGTTACACAGTCGGAGAGACGTCAGGTAGGGGACCAAACAAAATGAAAAAAGAGTTAAACCAATTGGCAAAAAAAGATTTTGAGGAACTTTCGAGATTCGGCACGTTGATAAAACAAAATGGCGACCGAAAGGCTGAATCGCGAAATCGAAAGAAGGTACTTTGGCCGAGGAAAAAATGTAGATAGTACAGTCAAAGAAGTCGAGGCAAGAAATGAGGTAACTAAATGTCTCGAAATTGGGAATATCTCGAGAAGCCGGCAAGATCAGTCGTTTTGTTTTTCATTAGTTTCTCATCTCTCGCGTGAATTCGCTACTTCGATGAGTTTTCCCACTTCGATTGACAAGGCCCGTCTCTCATCAGTAGCAGGGGGGCCCATGCACTACGCACTCGACGCACGTTCAAAGTTCATACAGATAATAAATACGTGACCCACATATACATGTAAATATATTATAATATATAATGATAATGAAATCGTTCAAATATAATATTAGATAATAATAATAGTCGTCACCAACGTTACATAGAAAAGCATTTGTGACAAGGAACCTCGAGTTGCTTAGCTTAAGAAATATTTATTATTAACCCGATCGTCGACGATCCAATCCCGATTAAATCGTTATCCACCCTATAACGTGACCTATTGACCCAGACACAGCGACCTCTACGATCTCTACTCATCTTGAACCCTGACCCATAGAAATTCGATTTTTCTTTAATTCCTCAAACGAGGGGCCTTATACCTTGCTGTCCCAATTTCAGGCATTCTTCTTTCGCGTATACTTGACCCGCACTGTCGTTACGTCATCGCGTACTTTCCATCGACACGTCTAAATTATTCACAATTCGCCGATCACGAATTCTGCTTCCTGTATAATAATTGTTTATTGAAAATCATGAAAATCATGAAAATCATGAAAACTTCAACTTGGCGGCTTCGTGATAATCGACACACACGCGCAACCTGCTCGATCGCGTGTGTTGTGCGTCGCGTGTCGTGTGTGCACACGTGTTCCTGTATGCATGGCTCTATGTAGATTTTCGAAATAGGTACGTACGTACGCACGCGTGCACCAATCCCGGATATAACCCGCGAGGATTCTAGTACGTTACAACATCATATATATATATATTTATCTACTTAAATATATATATATTTATATACCTATGTATCTACCAAATGTATTTACTCTCTACAATTAGACGTAGTAATCTTACGGGCTAATAGTTATTTCTTGTTTTCCGCCATTCTCTCTTCTTTTGCTTTGTTCCTTATACGCGCCTCTCGTAATTGCGAAGGAGAACGTGTCCCCTCTCACCTCCTCCGCCCCTCGGACACGAAATTCGCCATTGTCTCGCTCGAGTTTTCTTTACTTCTTCCTCTCCCAACCCTCTCCTTTCTTGGTTCGTCTCTTTCGTTGAACACCCTGCGCCCTCTGTACTCTCTCCTCCGAATCGCCCTTCTTTCCGTCACTTTCGTGCTTTCCCGCGCTCCTCCTGCCTTCGCTCACGCGCTCCTCGTTTCTTGGGCTCTCGGCCCTCGAAGTTCGAGAAATCAGGAGAGAATGGAGAAAGGAGGAAAAAGAAGGGAAGAGAGACGAGAGGAAAGAGAGCCAAAGGGAGAGTGGCTGCGAGACGGCCGTTGTGAGATATGAGGCGAGAGAGAGAGAGAGAGAGAGAGAGAGAGGGAGAGGGAGAGAGAGAGGGAGAGAGAGAGAGAGAGAGAGAGAGAGAGAGAGAGAGAGAGAGAGAGAGAGAGAGAGAGAGAGAGAGAGAGAGAGAGGAGTAACGCGTGCGCATTTCCATAATTCTCCCGTTTGAACCTCGAATTTGTGTCTGACGCACGCGAGAAACCCCTTAGTCATTAAATATTATGTAATTACCTCAATTATCATCGTAATCGTAATCATTAATATTATCGTTACCGTTATTATTACTATTACCGTTATTATTAATTATTCATTTGTTTTTTTTTTCTTTAATCGTTATTAAATATATTTTATTAAATATAGGAACCATGTTGCTGGGTTTTTCCTCTCGGCTATTCCCACCCCC